TATTATTATTATTATTATTATTCCAAAAGCACTGGAATTACATTTAAAACAGTTAAAAATTGACAAAATCACCATCAGTCAAATGCAAAAAGCCGCACTGCTTGGATCTGCACGCATATTACGAAAACACGTTACGACGTCCCAGGCCCCTGGGAGGGGCCCGACTAGTAACCAATGCCAAATCCGGAGCAACAAATTGCCGCTGTGATACTATTATATAATAATAATTATTCCAAAAGCACTGGAATTACATTTAAAACAGTTAAAAATTGACAAAATCACCATCAGTCAAATGCAAAAAGCCGCACTGCTTGGATCTGCATTATATTACGAAAATACATTATGACGTCCTAGGCCCCGGGGTGGGGCCCGACTAGTAATCAATGCCAAATCCGGCGAAACAACTGGCCGCTGTAATACAATTCTGTTGTTGCTAATAATAATAATAAAATAACTCAAGATGGTGTATGTTTCCAATATACCTTCTCCTTTTTGTTTTTTCACAACAACAACCCCGTGAGGTGGAGTTGAGCTGGGAGAGAGTGACTGGCCCAAAGTCTCCCAGCTGACTTTCATGATTAAGGCAGAACTAGAACTCCGAGCCTCCTGGTGATCGGCCCAAAGTCACCTGGCCAGCTTTCATGGCTAAGATGGGACTTGAACTCACGGTCCCCCCACTTTGTAACCTGGTGCCTTAATCACTAGACCAAACTGGCTCTCACTAACTTCAATATATATATATATATTCCCCTTACAGGAGAACGAAGGTCCTTTAAGTCGGGTCGCATCGGAATTTGGTTTAAATGTATCTGCAATCCATAAAGGAGATGGAGAAGGACCTCATTCTAAAAGAGTTAGTCAAAATTCTACAAACATTAAGGGTCTTATGTAACGTTAAGGTGTCCAAGGGGAAAGACTTGCAGACATCTTGAGTGTTATTTAATATATAAATAGTCCTCGACTTACGGCCACAATTGAGCCCAAAATTTTATATTGCTAAGCAACAAATTTGTTAAGTGCGTTTTGCCCCTTTTTACGATTTTTCTTGCCGCCTTTATTAAGTGAATCACTGCAGTTGTTAAATTAGTAACACCATTGTTAAGTGAATCTGGCTTCTCCGTTGACTTTGCTGGTCAGAAGTTTGCAAAAGGGGATCACATGACCCCAGGACACTCAACCGTCATAGATGTGAATCGGTTGTCAAGCATCCAAATATAAATCACATGATCATGGGGATGCTGTAACATTCATAAGTGAGAAAAATGGTCATAAGTCATTTTTTTCAGTGCTGTTGTAACTTCAAACGGTCACTAAATGAACTTTTGTAAGTCAAGGACTACTTGTATTCATAAAAATACTTGAAGTTGCTATGGTTGAATAACTTTGGATGATCAACTCTGGCCTTTGGTATCAATAGTGGTTTCTTCTCTGGTTTAGCTTGATATATTTTGGTTCACTGCAGAATAGAGTAGAGTAGAGTAGAGTA